GGAGGAGGAGGAGGAGGAGGAGGAGGAGGAGGAGGAATTGGTGCAATTAACCAATACTATGCCAAATAGTATGTAGTGTGCCCTGTGTTTAATAAACAGAGATGCTCCAGCATCAGTGGTTGCTAGGAATGTGGGAGAAGAGGGAGGTATCAAACTCCTGGGTCCTGCCCTGCAAATCTTTTTTAAAATATTTTTTATTTATTTGTTTTTATATGGTACAGAGGATCAAACCCAGTGCCTCACACGTACTAGGCAAGTGCTCTACCACTGAGCTACATCCCCAGCCCCTTGCCTCCAAATCTTACAGCCAGCCCCTTCCAGGACACAAAGGAGTGAAGTTACCATCATTTCAGCCAAAAAGAGCCTCTTGGAGAAAGGAATGCATGAAGCTAAAGCTATTAGCCATAAGTACTCTACAGAGCCAGAGCCTGACTCAGGAGTCTGGTGCTGCTGAAAGGTGGTCACCATGGATACATCTGCCCACCCTGCCCATCCTGTCTCTTATACTGGCAGCCCAAGTTAGGTTGCCAGACTCAGGGCACACTACAAGCTCCAGATGTGTCCACACAGCTATGCCTTTGCTCCAAGATGTCATTTCCACCTAACATGTTTATCCCATTGTCCACCTGGTAAAGCTCTGTGGATTCTCTGCACCAGAACTCCTATGTCACTTCCTCTTTGAAAACTTTGAAATCCCACATAGAAACAGGCTTTCTGGGCTGGGCTTGTGGCTCAGTGGTAGGCCACTTGCCTAGCATGTGTGAGGCACTGGGTTTGATCCTCAGCACCACATAAAAATAAATGAATAAATAAAGTTATTATGTACACCTGCAACTAAAAAAAGAAAAAAGAAAAAGGAAGAAACAGGCCTTTCTGCTCTCCCTCTGAATACAACACCCCTAGCTCACCTGTATTGGAAGCTTCTGTGGGCATAGGATGCCTCTGATGGATGGCAAGCAAACATCAGGACTTCCAAAGTAGCTAAAGAGATGCATAAAGGATATCATTTTCCAAAGCAAAAATCCACACACCAGGTACAATAGGCAGTCTGAGATGCAAATGATGTGTAATGCCAGGAGCAAGTGACCTCTGCTCACTCCACATCAATGTCCAAATGTCCAAAATGAAAATTCTGGACCCCCTCCCCACCCAGAAGCTTGCCCTTCATGGATAATGCTCTGAATGTTGCCAATACCCAGAACCCTGCCACAGAACCATCCCACTCACTGACTAGATATAGGCTGACCCTTTGGGGGCTTTTTTTTTAACCCCCAGAAGCCTACACTGGCCCAGATTTCTCAAACCTGACCCAAGGCAGTAAGCTTCCACACTCTCCCCAAAGCTAATTCTTTTCTTTCTGCCAGTGACCACCTTAAAATGATACTTGGATTATGCAATCACTGCCCATCACTTAGAGAAAAAAGCCCCTGACTTTCTCCTCCTCTCCCTTCCTGACTTGTCAGCCACTCTCAGAAGACTGGATGCCCCACCACCTCCTCTACCTGGCTGAAGCCTGACCCATCTCTAAGCTTGTCCTGCCCCTTGGAACATGCATCTGCCTGCCCTGGACCCTTAGCCACCTAGCCAGGCAAACAATGCATCTCTGAGTACTGTCTGCCCTCCCATCCCCATAAACACCCTGCTCACTGAAGCAACAGCAGCTCATCTGCCTAGTTGTCTAGCCCAAGGACTCCAGCTCCTGATCCCAAACACAAGAGTTGCTTTGGTCCACCAGGTTTGGAACCACCACTGGCTTGAGATACCATAGATTCCAAGAAGCTCTATGGAGTTTTCTTCACACCCCTAAGAAGTTGCAGGAAAACTGGTCCTAGTGAAAGAAGGACCAATGCAGGGTCAGTTCCCATGACCCGGTAAGAGAAACGGGCATGTGACTGGTACTCTGGCTGGACCTGAGCCACCTCCTTTTGGGCCTGACTTATGACAAGGAAGCCATAGCAAGAAAGAGGAGCAGGGAGGGTTACCACAATCCTGGGTCCTGGCTTTGTTCCAGTGGGCGGGGAGGAAGAGGGTGCTCCTTCCAGGTTGGCCTGGCTTCCAGGATTCCAGGGGCCCCATTCCCCTCAGCCCAGTCCCCACTCCCCAGTCCCCACTCCCAGCAGCCTGGCTTTATGACTTCATTTGCTGAAGTCACCTGGCGACAATGCTGAGCGTTCTACCCCTCCAAGTCCAGGCCCAGCCCAGCCAGACAACTCCCCACAGTGCAAATGAGGACAATGCCTGCTGGCCCGTGTGGGGAGGGGATGTAGAGGGCAGCGGCACCGGCCGCTCCTGGCACCATGGACGATGCCGCGGTCCTAAGGAAGAAGGGTTACATCGTGGGAATCAATCTGGGCAAGGGCTCCTATGCAAAAGTCAAATCTGCCTACTCTGAGCGCCTTAAGTTTAATGTGGCAGTCAAGATTATCGACCGCAAGAAAACACCCACTGACTTTGTGGAGAGATTCCTTCCTCGAGAGATGGACATCCTGGCAACTGTCAACCACCGCTCCATCATCAAGACATACGAGATCTTTGAGACCTCTGATGGGCGCATCTACATTGTCATGGAGCTTGGGGTCCAGGGTGACCTGCTTGAGTTCATCAAGTGCCGAGGGGCCCTGCATGAGGATGTAGCACGTAAAATGTTCCGCCAGCTCTCCTCAGCTGTCAAGTACTGCCATGACTTAGATGTTGTCCACAGAGACCTCAAGTGTGAAAACCTTCTCCTTGACAAGGACTTCAACATCAAGCTGTCTGACTTCGGCTTCTCCAAGCGCTGCCTGCGAGACGGGAGCGGGCGCATCGTCCTCAGCAAGACCTTCTGTGGGTCGGCTGCATATGCAGCCCCCGAGGTGCTGCAGGGCATCCCCTACCAGCCCAAGGTGTATGACATCTGGAGCCTGGGCGTGATCCTCTACATCATGGTCTGTGGCTCCATGCCCTACGATGATTCTGACATCAAAAAGATGCTGCGCATCCAGAAAGAGCACCGTGTGGACTTCCCCCGCTCCAAGAATCTGACAAGTGAATGCAAGGACCTCATCTACCGTATCCTGCAGCCAGATGTCAACCGACGGCTGCACATTGACGAGATTCTCAGCCACTCGTGGCTGCAGCCCCCCAAGCCCAAAGCCATGTCTTCTGCCTCCTTCAAGAGGGAGGGGGAGGGCAAGTACCGGGCTGAGTGTAAACTGGATACCCGGCCAGGTGCAAGGCCCGAGCACCGGCCTGACCACAAGTTGGGGGCCAAAACCCAACACCGACTGCTGGTGGTGCCTGAAAATGAGGACAGGATGGAGGAAAGGCTGGCTGAGACCTCCAGAGCTAAAGACCATCACATCGCCGGAGCTGAGGTTGGGAAGGCAAGCACCTAATGGTGGAGAGGGCCCTGGGGGGCGTAGCGTGTAGTTTGCGCTCACATAAACTAAGTAGGCAGGTAGGAGCTGAAGAAGGCACAGGTGCAAGGAACAAGTAAAATCCGTCAATTAAACCACTATTTTGATTACGTTCTATTAGCTTTCTTCCACTTAGTTGCAAAGACATTAATTACTGACCACCAAATAAACCACAAAGTGTATACAAGCATTAAGAGTGCCCAGTGAGGAGTCTTTTTCTCTAGGACTCAGCCGGCGCAGGGGTCTCCAGCATAGGGGACCAGAGGCCGGTGCTCAGGTACAGACAGACTCATGGTGAGGCCTATGGCAAGAGGACTTCTGCCATGGTCTACCTACCAGGCCCACACTTGTCTGCCTCTGACCTGCCCCTGTCCCTGAGGCCTCCAGGGCTGAGCAGCTCCATGCCTCTCCTTCACTTCATGTAGTGCAGCCTATGCTGACCCTGTTATACTCCTTCTCACAACCCTTTGCTCAATGTCCTCCTCTAATCCCTGGGGTCATTTGAGATGGGCTCAGCTGCTCATGGGCCACCCTTATCATCATCCAGGGGCAGTCCAGATGAGGCAGTTTGCGGGCACCTTCCCCACCACTTGGGCCTGCAAGCTCTATGAAGCAGCTGTTGGTGATGGCACTGCCCAGTCTTTTATGTTTCCCATTTGATAACCCATCACTCCCCAGAGCATGCTCCCTATATGCTAAGTGCTTGAGGGTCATCAGTACCTCCTGCCTCCCACTTCCTGGAGGCTCCCAGGGGCTAAAGTTCAACCTTCCTTCTTGGACAAAAGTACACAAGGCCCCACCTTTCTGACCACTAAGCATCCTAGCTTCAACTCCTGGAGGGTCCCAGGACAGCCACCCCAGGAGTTTGCAGAAACTCACTGTGGGGGAGCACAGGTTAGCAGAAACCCTAGTCAAGTATCAAATGGTAGATGTCAGTCTCTGGACTAGCCTCCAGAAAACATCAACAGTTAGGGAACAGGCAAGAAGACCAACACAGAAAGATTGGAGAAAATGGCTTGTACAGTTCATAAAGCAGGACTCTGTTCTGAGCTGTATCAGGTGTTCCCTAAGCCCCTTGAACAGTGGGAACTCTGGGTCCCCCAGAGAGTATAGCCTATGACCCCCACTTGAGGCCTGAAGACACTGGCTTGAAGCTAAACCATGATATGACCCCCTCAATTCCATGGATAATAGGTATATGAGCCCAGCTGGCCATCAATCACTTGAGGGTTGGGCACCCATGTATCAGCCCATGGGTAAATGTTGGCCCTTGGTACAGATGACACCTGTGAGTCTGCTTAGAACCTGACCCCATTCTTTTTTATACAGCAGCTCCAGTTGGGGTGAGGCTCGTGCCTCAATTGATTGGTAGGCAATACCAAGAGCAGTGGGGGGAGAATACAGGCAGGAAGGTAGAGATGGTTCTGTTCTGAGCTGGAAGTCAAGTGCTGGGAGAGGGTGATGGCTGAGGCCACCATGAAAGTGCCTCATACAGAAGTAGGGTCTGACACACAGGACCTACATGGCTATATAAACAGAAAACCACACAGGCTCAGAGTTCCAGATGACCATGAGGGATATATTTCTGGAGGCTCCATCACTTCCTCAGAAAGACCTGTGAGCTCAGCTCAGAAGGTAGCTAAGGGAGTCACAGAAAACAATGGAGGAGCCACCCTACCCACAGCTTCCTCCCCTAGAGGCACCCTTGCCTCTAATCCTGAAGTCTTAAGATAGCACAGCTGGCCCAAGGAGGTCCCAGGGCCCACTCAAGGAGCAGGGCAGAAGGGCAGCCTAGCCAGAATGTGCCAGATGTTCTTTAATGACATAGAAACTTTCAGCAAGGCCCCAAGGGACAGCATGGGTGCTGTACTCCAAAGGGAGAGGGCATGTGTCCCATGCTGGCCTGGCTGAGGCACAGCATCTTTCATCTGTGATTCCTGTGATGATCAAATGCCTCCGGTCTGTGCCTGAACTTCCAGGTGGAGTCCTCTGCTGGGTGGACAGCTGTCCTGAAGGTTCCACACAATGTCCAAGGGCCCAGCACAGGCCTGGCTCTAAAAGAAGTCTGAGGCTTTGCGCCGAACAGGGAGCTGTAGTAAGTTGTCTGTGATGGAGGCTGGGTCCTGTGTGAGGGGTGTGCGTGTGGCAGAACCAGGGGCTGGTGTGCTCGTGGGGGTCTGCTGCCCACCAGCTGGAGTCTTGAGGTGGGTTGAGCGTGCTGGGGATGGTGTGTAGCTGGCCCGCAGGGCTCGGTCTGTATACTTGCTGGCTGTCCTGCTCACAAGGCGTTGCAGGGCTGGGGACATGGCTGGGTTCAGGCCTTTGGGAGTGAGGCTGGGATTAGGGAGAGAAGTAGGGTTAGTTATCAGAGTAAGGCCTCCCTCAGCCCCTAAGGAAAAGCCTTGTCAGAGGTATGGTCATTCTGAACTGAGGAAGACAATACTGGGTGGCTTAGCACACAGCAATCAGACTGAACTTGAGTTTAACTGATGCYATTGCCTTTGGCTGTGAGGCTGGGTAGACTACAGACCTCTGAAAGTTGGAGTTCCCACCTCTCTCCAAGAGGAATGATAATAACACTGTCTCCACAGGACTGATAGGAATTCATAATGGGACAAATTGCCTAAAGGTGACTCTTAAGGACAGGTCAAGGAGATGTGGAAGAAAGAACACAGAAAGAGTCCTGTAGCCTGGTCCACATGCAACCATAGCAGAGGAGCAGCTACAGCACCCACTGCAGAACCCCATGGATCTGCCCTGGATTCTACCCTATAAGCCATACATCCACATGGCTGAGTATGGGCAGAGCAGGGACAAGGCAGACACTAGTTCATCCCCACCCATTACCCCTTCCCAGGACCTAGTTGCCCCTCACCTGGCCAGGTTCTCTGTCACTCTCCGCAAGGCTTCTTGCTTCTTAGCTCGATTCTTGGCAGCAGCCTCATTGGCCATCTTCAGGCCCAGCCGCTCCCTACGGCCAGGCTCCAAGATCTACAAGGTAGCAGGCATGTGGGTGGCCTGTGTGGGACCTGTCACCAAGCCAGGCAGTCCCTCACCTGGAAGAACAGCTGCTGTGGATGCCAATCTTTTTTCCCTGGCTGCCATAATCCCAGCAACCCTTCATTGCCACCCTCCCCCATAGCCTATCAAAAGCCCCTACCCATCCTGTCATACCTGTGCATTCCCCAGGGCCCCCCTCCTTGCCTGGATTCAACAGGTTCTCAAGGCCAGGACTGCCAAGGTATAAACTTCTGAGAAGCCTTCAGGGAAAAAAGTGTCCTGTTTTCATTTTTTTCCAATTATTAGTGTGACAATCTTTTTGTCTTTATTACCCTTCTGTATTTCTTTCAAGAACTCTCCATATGTGAATGTGGCCCCTTTTTCTATCCAAGTGTTTATCTTCTTTTTAGTTGTCTATTGTTGTTACTTATAGAACTTTACCTATCAATTAAATTAAGCTACACCAAATTTATTTTTTAATTATTTGCTTTTGCTTTTTTAAATGACATTTTCTGCTGTACCAAAGTTTATCATTTTCATATATAGTATCCCCTCTTACCTTCAGGTGATGTTCCAAGACCCTCAAAAGACTCTTGAAAACTGAACTATATATTATTTTTTCCTATACAGACCTATAATAAAACTTAATTTACAAATTAGGGGTTGTGCCTGGCATGTTGGATCACGCCTGTAATTCCAGTGGCTTAGGGAGGTTGAGACAGGAAGATCTCAAGTTCAAGGTCTGCCTCAGCAATTTAGCAGGGCCTAAGCAACTTAGTGGGATCCTGTCTCAAAAACACAAATAAAAAAGGGCTGGGGATATAGCTCAATGGTAAACTGTCCCTGGGTTCAATCTCCAGTACCAAAACAAACAAATTAGAGGTTAGGGGATATATCAGTGGTACAGCTCATGCTTAGCATGCTTGAGACCCTGGGTTGAATCCCTAGCAACACACACACACACACACACGCACACACAATTAGGCATAATAAGAGAAAAACAACAAGATAAGTAGAATATTATCATAAAATGACTTAAAACTTATGAACTGTTGCTGGATGTAGTGACATATGCTGATGATCCCAGTGACTTGCGAGGCTGAAACAGAAGATCACAATTTGAAGCCAGCCTCAGCAACTTTGTGAGGCCCTGTCTCAAAATAAAAAATAAAAAGGGCTTGGAATGTAGTTCAGTGGTAGAAAGCCCCTGGATTCAATCCCTAGCACCAAAACAAAACAAAACTTATGAACACTTATTTCTCTAATTTCCCATTTAATACTTTCAAGCTGCAGTTGACCACAAGAAACCTTGGAAAGCAAAAACATGGATAACAGGGGACTGTTGTAGCTATTACTTAGTGAAATTTTTTCCTTTTATGTTTAGAAAGTTCCTAAGATAAAACTAAATGTTCATGTGGCTTGGGAGGCTTGAGGGAGGAGGATTGTAAGTACAAAGCCAGCCTCAGCAACTTAGTGAAGCCTTAAGCAACTCAGCAAGAACCCTGTTTCTAATACAAAAAAAAAAAAAAAAAAAAAAGCTGAGGATGTGGCTCAGTGTTTAAGTGCCCCTGAGTTCAATCCCTGATACCAAAACAACAACAACAAAACAACAACAAAATATTCACCACTATTTTTATTCTAGTTGTTTAATGGTGATTGTTTTTACCTTTAACCTTTTTATCTTTCTGCAAGTTATTTTGCTATATGTATTAAGGACCTAGTTCACTTTATTTCTAAATATTTTGTTATTCAGCACAATTTGAATTGCCATCTTTATAATACCTCCAGTTCTTACTTGAACTGTGGATGGTTTAAGTGCTATTTTTCCTTTGCTATTGGCCATGGGCTCTTGGTCCCAGGGCACAATTCTTACCTGCCCCCTATGGAATCCAGGAACACTCTATAATTAAGCTACATCCTCAATTCTTTTTATTTTTTTATTTTTGAGATAGGGTGTTGCTAAGTTGCTGAGGCTGATTTCCAACTTGAATTCCTCCTGCCTCAACCTCTTGAGTTGCTGGGATCACAGGCATGCACCATCACGCCCAGCTATCCTGAGCACTTTATATTTTCAGACAGGGTCTCACTGATTTACTTAGGGCCTTGTTAAA